ACAGGTATCAAATTAGTCATTTTAGTGTAAAACAAATACTTCGGTCTCATCAAGAGATTTTGAGGTTTTGCCTGATAGCTGGTTTCCTCAAGAGGCGTTACATATTTCCGCCTTTCATTCACTTGCCGTATTCTGTGTTTACGCTTATTCAACCTTTAAGTTCGATTTAGCTTTTTGGCAGTTGGAGGTATTAAGAGTATATTAAAAAAAGTCTTTTAATTCTGTCATTCTGAATAAAGTTAGACTTTTTAAAAATATGGAGATTTTGTACAGTCTAATTTTAAAAACAATGGATTTTTAGCGTCTCCTGGTTTTAGTATCATCACAAAAGAATAAAAGGCTGCTGACATGCAATTGGACACTCCAGTTCACAGTTTGGAAAAACTTTGGGAAAATTTTTTTCATATTTGCTTGTACAAATATATATGTGTGTGCACATATGTATATGGACATATATATATATGACTTTTAAGTATATTTAAATTTCTGCTAAAAAAGTAAACCAGCTTAGAAGTGAACAGCATTTACTTCATCAATGGAATTACATAGTCAGTGTAATGTTTGTGATGATGGACTTTGAAAGTATTTTCAAATACGTTAAGGTAACAGTAAAGGTGGAGCCTGTTCCTGTACCAAAGACAATAAAAATCATTGGACAGATTTGAGAAGAATACTTTCCAACTTCTCCCAAAAAATCCAGAAAGCTATGGGCCATCACAAAACATGAAGCACTCCTTGTATTCAGCAGAGGATCTTTATGAGTATGTCCAGGAAAATGTCCACCTAGTTCCTTGTTTTCCTCTAATTCCACTGTCCATTATGTGAAACTGCTTTAAATACTGATCCATTTTTTTGAAATCTGCCTTATTTTTTTTTTTTGAAAGGTGTATTTTCTTATAAAAAATATATTTTAAAATGTGTTTTAGCTATTGTAGTGTCATATAGCGTGCAGAATCACACTTACAGAGAGAATAATGATTTAATTCAATGAAGTGTATAGTAACTGAGAGTTTTACTCCCCATCTATCCTCTCCCCTGTTAAGAACAAATTTTGTTTTATAATTTCTGTGGGAAAATGTACTTTGATTAGGCAAAAGCATTTGTGCACAGTCTTAATGTTAAGTAAACGCTTAACGTTTGTCATCCTGAAGGGACTGCTGAGAGCCTAATGCTGTATTCAAAATTTTATATACAATTGCTATTCATTTTACTTGGCATTATACACAAATAAGGGCTTTAGTAAGCATAAAGAGATCATTTTCTTTGCCAACAATTTTCAGTTCATTTGACTGGAATGTCCAATTATATAATTATTTACAGCATTTCACATATCGATAGAAATAGAATAGAAATTCAAATTGTGTTTGTACAATTTTACTATTCTGGGAGAAATTGCGCTGAAACTGGATGTGCTTCACAGATTATGCAAAATTCAATTCTAATAATGCTAATAATGCTTTGTGATTTTCCAGCTATTAGACAGCTTTGGTTTTTTGTTTTTTACAATAGTTATGTACGCTGTTTTCCTTTTATGATTTCCTAAGTTCACAAAGCAAATGTCTGTAATATGCTAGGGTATCTAATTATTATTATTACTTTTTAATTTTATGCATGTGTGTTGGGATTTGAGGTATTTATGAAAATTAAACCAACACTTGTCTTGCGGACTGCATCCAGATTGGAAATACATTTATGTGGCTTTTTTTGACACTTTTGGACAGACTTGATCGTGTGGTTATATAGAGGTTGTGGTGAAGGGGCGTGGGACTTCTGAGATTTGTAGCAACTTCTATGTATTTAGTGAGTCTAATAATTTATGTTTGTTGGCTATTTTGAGCTGGACTCTGAACATCAAGTTGTAGAGAAAGATACTTTACAGGTGTTTTAGCTTAGTGCGTGGGACAAAGAGATTAGTTTTAAGTAGGTCACTTTGCTGAAAGATCTCAGCTATTATTGTAGAAGATGTCTTCAGTTATCTTGCCCCTCTGCCTACATTCTCCTGTCAACTCCTCTTCCCCAAAATTTCAAAAAGTCAAAAGACTTTTTTCGAGTACTGTGAATGTTTTTGTATTTTTTCCTGATTTTTTTTTTTTTTTTTTTTTTAAATTAAATTCGTTTCATTTAAATTTTTTTTTTTTGTTAAACTAAATTTAATTCAGTTAAACTGGAAGGATGTTTCACAGGAAGCAAAAACTTTTTAGTCTGGGTGAATAAAGTTTCTTGGTCAAACAAAACCTATTTTAAACTTTTTATTTTGCAAGAGAAAATGTTTAGCATTAGTCAGAAGTGATTTTTATTGCTGTAATAATTATAAATTATTAGTATATGTTATGCTAACCTGGGAGCTGCTCTAATTCATTGATTTCTTCCCCCTGACTACCAACTGCCTCTTCTAAAGTCAAAATAATCCAATGTGCTCTGTAAACTTGCTTTAAGCAGAAACTCAGCCAGCCTCCTAAGAGCACATGCTTGCCTCTTAAATACTTTTGTGCAGACCTTGCAAGCTATGTTGGATTGCACCAGAAGAATCTGAACCCAGATGTGAATTTCAGTCTGAATCTGAAATGTTGCTGAATTTCTCAGACTTGCTGAACTTACATGAGGGAGGCAAAGAGGTAGTACAAAAATTGCTCCATGTGCATTTTCTGGACTAGACAAAAATCTGGGTTCTGACTCATCTGGCATTCTAGTAATAGTATATCTTTTTACTTTTAATGTCAGGTTGTTACTAAAAGGAACTCTCAAAACTGTGCACTCACAGGGTAGCATGCTGATATGACTTCTCAGTTGAATGCCTTTAAAATGCCCGCACTGGTCACTCACGTCCTCATTCCTCTACTAACCTGGATGTGCCATCTTTGAAACCAGGATAAAAATCTGATCACAATCTGCTACTGCGTAGGCTGAAACTCTTTGGATTCTGACAGAAGTTTGATCTGCTCTAACACACTTTGGGATACTTTAAAACATTATTAATAATATTAGTAATTTATTTTACTTGTCCTCTTATTACTGTGTATTGTTTTTTTCTTTTACCTTCACTGTATACAATGCTTGTATTATGTTTTATATAATGCCAATATAATCAAAGAAATTCAATTACAGAAATTGAAGAAATTTCTTTATTTATAATTAAAGGATTTCTGACAGCTTCTCCAATTGCAGCTATAATTTGAAATGGAATTAAAGATTTTATTTGAATGACATACGTTAACGTTTAATTTGTAGTAGAATTTCCCATTGGTTTTTACCCCAGAAATTATAATAACTCCTTGTGGACCAATCATTGTTATCACACAAACAGACCTGTTAGGTGAATTCTTGTGTTTGCAATTCAAGATTCAGTTGATTAAAAGTACATTCCTACTATGCCCCACTGATGGCCGTGTTTTCCACTCAAGACTTGGTAGGCTCAGTAATGTGGCTGAGATGCAGTTTCCATATGTGGCAAATTAGTAATTTTTTCTTGCTGGAGATTACTTATGTACAACTGCTTTTTGCAGGTATTTTAGTAGCATGACTGATTGTCGTTGCCTGGAGAATATGTTTCGTATCTGTGAGTGCGTCATGTGATTTGCATGAAAACGTTTATGCGATTAGGAAATTGGGTCAAAGGTTATGTCTTATGGGTATAGGCAATTAACAAGCATGATCTAGTATGACTGTGCGTCAGAATTAGAATTTTTTAATTTTTTAGTATATAGACACTGTTGCAAGAAAAACTTTTGCTACTTATTGTTTTCTGCCTGACTTAAGTTAGTGAAGATGCGTGTGAAAAGACTGAATAGACTGAATAGTTTGATGGAGTTGGGTAAAACCCAAGAAACTATTCTGTTCTGTAAAAAGCATTTTATCCAGAAATGTTGTGGACATGTATAGGTAGATGCTGCTGTTGCTGCCTTTTAATTTGCCTTTGCAAAAAAATTAGTACAGTAAAGGCATGGGTCCACCGTAGACTCAGCCTGTAATTTCTACATTTGCGCATTAGAAAGCTTGGGCCACATTGGGCATATGGTTTTGTAATTTTCTGGTTTGTTTCTGTAAAATGATGTTCCAGGAGATAGCTTAAAAGAAAGGCATTGTAGTCATAGAAGCCTGGTGGTTATCCAAAACTTTTTTGTTCATACTTTTACTTCTCAAAACTGGATACATAATTTATGAATTGCTTCATTAATGTGTCCTTAGATAGTTACTGAGTGAGTTTATACCATGGACAGCAAGATTCCAATGTTTACAAGCTGTTTAATTAGCTTGTTGTTTTGATATTTTACTTGTGGTGAAAGGTAGTGTAAAAAAATTACGTTTTCTTTCTTGGATGTCATTTGAACGACATTTGACGTGCTGAGAAGATACTTCATCAGAAGCCAAATGGGGGACTGTTGATAATGATCTGTAAAGTTCTTAATAAAGCTCACTTCATCAATTGTTCCTTGGGATATTTCCAATTTTTGTTAAAACTTGTTCTTTCTCAGGTGTTCTTTGTGCACTTAGATACAAGTATTTATAAAAGAATATATACAAATATATATTTCATTATGTGTGTGTATATCTCTCTCTCTCTTTTGGAACCAAACTGCCACTGTTCTTCATAGAAATCCTTCCATGTAGGAACCTCGTTTCTACTTTACCAATAAAAATGTTAAGGGACAAGTGAAAATCCACATGTAAAACATCAACTATTAGAATAGTATGATAATATTTGAATGAAGTTTTTTTAAGAAAAAAGTTACAGAAAAGCATAAGTCAGAATTGCATGAGTTTTTTTACAGCTGAGTAAAGACTCTGAAATCACAGAAGTTTCTCTGAAAGGCTAATTCAGTCTGGATTAGTAGAATTTCTCCTGCAATGACTGGCAGGGGTTTTAGGAGAACAAAACTTCCATGATTTTGGTTTGTCTTTTTACTGCTGTTTTTAAAACAACTTTTTGTTTGTAATTACTCTAGTTGGAATGCATAAGAATAATTTTTTGCATTAACCATCTGCTTGCTTTTTCTAACCAGGTATTAAAGTGAAATTTAGAACCCAAGAACCTGATGGTTTGATTTTTTTCTCTGCATCACCCGGGAGTCAAGAGGAATACATTGCACTGCAGCTGAGGAGTGGGCGTCCTTACTTTCTTTTTGATCCACAGGTACAACAAAAGACAGGATCCTAGAAAAATAGCTTATATTATTTCTTACAGTACTTCTTTACGTACTTATCCTTTTTGATTTTTGTTATTGATACAAGTTAACTGGCTTGTCAGAACCCTTAGGTAACTAGAGGTATGGGGGAGAGAAATAGTGAAACACTAAAGCTTTGCTCATTTTTTGTTGTTTGCCACAATTCATGACTTTATTTTTGCATTTTTATCAGTTGGATTTTTTTTGTCACTGCCACCAAACACCACCACAGCTTAAAGTACCAAGATTTCAAAGGTGGGCAGAATTAGTTTTTGAATTAGCGAATAAAGGTTTATATATATTTTCAGTTGATTATTTTTAAGCCTCTTATCTTGAGACTTTGTCTTTTCCTACTGAAGTCAGCGTGTTGCCATTAATGTGATGAAAGTAGTCTCTCACTTCTAGTAGTAACGAACACAGCAAAGACATAAATAGTGAGGGAAATATTACCAAATAAATTCCACAGAATTAAAAATAAGGCCCCATTCCTTGCATTTCTGTTTGGATATTTTCTCTTTTCTGTGCACCACAAAACTGGATCTCCTCATGGAATAAAAAAGCATTACAGATTCATTTCTATTTTATAAATATGCAGGAAACTAAGTAATTATTAGATTTTTCTAATGATATTGGCAGAATGTGGCGTCATATGTGCATCCTTTTCGTAAGGTTACTGATGCCTCAGTGTTGCTGGAAGGTCTGGTCGCTGTATCATCCATATCTTCTGTCACACCTCAGTGTCTAATGTGATTGGCGTTGTGTCTACTGCGCTGGGGGGGTTGAACAGAAACGCTTAATGATGTTGAACGGTGATGATCTGGAGATTTGACGATCCACTGCTAATCTTTGCTTCCTGACCTCTGCCGTGGTCCAGTCACTGGTGCTCCATCACCATGCAGAGATGATGTGCAGCAGTGAAGCTCCTCCCTAGCTCTGGAGAAGCTGTAGAAGAGGCACGGCACTGCACAGAGGCTGGCAGGGATGCAATCCCTGTGCTAGAAAATGTTGACTCTGCCTCTGTCCCCAAGATACAAATATCTACTATTTCCACTGCATTTGCACACAGATATTATCTTCTTTTCCTTATTGCAAACTGAACCAGTGCGTACATCAACTTTTGGGACCATGCTTAACATTGTTGTCAATGTCCTGATCCACATTTTAATAGGTACTAGTTCTGTTTTATCTCTGCTACACTTACACCATCACTTAACTGAAAAGGGTTTTTTTATTTCCTTTGCAAGATCTTTCTAACTGTAATAGTTTTTGGTTTTGGTTTTTGTAGGGGTTTTTTTTTGTGGGGGGGGGCGAGATGTTTGTTTTAGTGGGGGTGGATATCTTTCAACTGGCATTTTAGTGCTTCAAATAGTATTACTAGCCCTCCTTGCAGATGTGCTCCTTCTGAAGTAGCTTTATGTCAGCTAGGTTGGACTCGTTCCCTAGAAGCTGTTGTATTTGTTCAGATTCATGGTATTTGGGGAATGGGGAGGAAGGGGACGTGTGGGGCAATGGCTGGTTTGGGTGGAGGTTTTTTTCTGCTTTTTTTTTTTTCTTTTTTCCCTGTCTTGTAACTGGAAAAAATGCAGGTCTCATCCATATTCAGTCCCTAGAGCTTCGCAGTTCAGCTAATGTTTTCAATAGCTACTATCTTAAATTTTAACAAATTACTTGGTTGTGAATATATCTTTGTTTATCTTTCTGTTTCATTTGAATCGGAGAACTCTGTCCCATGCTGACTTTTAGGATCATCACTTCCGTATTGTTCCCTCTTTGTATAAAATCTGACATAGCATCCATTGCTGGTTCAGTGACGTTACAGGAGAAAAAAGTCTGTCATTCAAGGCATTCAGGAATAGTGTAGGTCTTAACATTTGATTTACTATCTTGAAAGCTAATGCTTTCTAATTTGTCATTAACAATGTGGAAGGAGATTCCTGTGCATTCTGAGATTCAAAAGTAGGGTACTGTGGCCTACATCAGTGTATTTCTTGTAGTACCCTTTTCAAAGCCCGTTGCCTGTGAAAATTCAGTTATCCAAATTTTTCGGTATTCTGTATGCTTAATATTCTGTGCTACCTTACTATCTTTATCTTTACGTCTATGTTTTCTACATAGTTTCATTCTTTTTTCTTTTTGCCATCCTATAACAGCAGGTACCTTGTTCTGTAGCAGCAATTCTTATACCTTTGTTTGTGCCATCACAGTTTGCATTAGTGTTAAAATGCTTTAATTACTACTTATTGCCATCATGTGGTTTCCTAACCAGGTTGTATGCATTGTTTTCTGTAACTATGGTCGTGGCATATATGATAAGCATTTATGGCTCTGCCTCTATGCTCTTCTCTTAAAAATGGCAAACCTTTTTGATGACAATTGTGTCTCTGCTGCTTTTTATCTATAGCAGCATGGTGTAATATTCTGTGCTCCCTTCCAGCTGTGTCCTGTCGCGGGTTAATTATTTTTACCCTTCCTCTGTTTCAGAATTCTTGTGTGTATCTTTGCTCATGATCAGCAGCGTGTTTTCTCTTTGTTGTGTCTGCTCTGGGGATAGTCCTACCAAGTCTTCTTAGTAGGGAGTCTTCAGCAGCCTAACTTCTTCCTTCTCTTAGTGTTAATTTCAAATCCTTTTCTTCCTGTCCATTTATACTTCTCTCAACTTTATGTGCACCACCATTCACCTAGCTGTTTTCTGACCATCTCTTCTGTCTCCCTGTTGTGTTGTCTGGCTGCATGTTTTTCCTTCCTTGTTGTTGTACTGTCATTATTTGCAGGTTTCTACTCATGGTCCAGGAAATATGAGTTTTTTTATGAACAGATGTCTTCCTCAGTCTTGTCTGCGTAATCAAATTGTTCCATAGACCTTCCTTCAGACTCAGTGTGTCTGCAAACCTTCAGCTGTCCGTGGAGTTTCAACTCATCATAATGCCTTTAAATTCACCCCTGAACTACACAATCAACTCTAGCTAAATTTATAGTTATCTTTCAGTGGCTGAAAGGTCATCTATTCTATCTTTTTTCCCAGGGAAGCACTGAATATTTTATACAAAGTGAAATCACTAACAGTGGAAATTTTAAGGCCAATCTGGAGCACCATTTTCCTTAGTGATTAGGACAGTCTTCTGAGGATAGCGTACCAGGATTCTTCTCACAATATGGAGTGAATTGAATCCAGCTCTTCCATTTTAGAAGATGCTTAAACTCTGCAGAAAAAAAGAGGAAGATGGGATACTTTTCTTGTTGCCTGTGGTTGGTGCAGAGGCCGAAGTAGTAGGCACAGGCTGAGGGTGAGCTGTTACTCCCCAAAAAAGGAAGGTGGACAACACGTAGCTATGAATCCCGACTACACTTTGCTGCTTAGTGTTGGCAAAACTTCAGTACTTGCTTACCTGCTCAGTCATAGAAGTTTGGCCATTGGAAGAACTTGACTGGGAGAAGTGTAGTTACATTCAGATTTTTGCACCTAGACATTAGCTTTGAGGATCCATAGTTGTGATGTTTCTACGTATTTTTATGAGTGTAATTATCAGCATGAAGAGCCACAGAGATTTATATTTACTTAGTTATTACTGAGAGCTACTAAAAAGTAAGAGTTATTGTATGTAAGTAAGGCTTACTGTATGGCTCAGCAAACTAATCCAGATTTGCTTCACTATGTGTGATTTCCAAAATGCGTAACAAGCTGTTTCACAACAGGTTATTTGAATATGATCACAGAGTCACTGGAGTAGTTCTGGATAAAATGTCTTGCAGAAGCCTCCAATGCGGTGCATGCTGAACTCTGAACACTGTTGTGTGTGTTTGGTTTTTTTTTTTTCTCTTTTTGTTCCCCCCTGAAATTAAACACAGGGTAGCACATATGGTAGTGTGGTCCCAGATTGAATTGGTTACAAATAAATGCAGTTTCTGATGTATAAAACTGTTAATTCTCTAGACTGTTGCCAAACATAATATGAAGAACCACTTATTCAGGCACCTGATCTTTAGAATGCAGCATCGTTTGTAACAATTTTAACGCTAACTAAGTACACTTTGATGAGACAGCATTTAATAAAATGCTCATTAATTTCATCATTAGCAAGGGTATGCTAAGAAGTAAGCCAGTTTCTTATGTCACGCCCAATTAGCATCCCAAGCTAGTAATCCCATTAGTATTGTTGAATTCACTAATGGAAAAACTAATGGGCATGCTACCAGGGCACATTAATTGGGCATGACACCAGTTCTGGTTTTAATTATTAAACTACGATAATGAAATGTGTGTTTGTAAAATATTAAAATGTTGAAATAGGAGAGAAGACAATAAAAAACAGTATGTGAAAAAGTGCACAATAGTATATAAGGATATATAGCTTTGTATTGTTATCATGGGACAGAGGACTGGTGTACAAACTGCTTCAGTACCAAGATGTTGGCTGAATAGAGTAGGAAACGTGCTGTAAGTATTCATGGGAAATTACTTTTTCTATAATCATGTACATATGTACACATCATATATATTTTTATACATAGGATACACGGTGACAGTCCCCAATTCAAAATGCACTGTAAAATGTGTACTGCGTTTATAAATCTATATGCCAACAAGGAATTTCTAATAGACGCACATCACTAATGGCAGAATACTACATTTTAACAGATCTTTTTAGTATTACTCAGCAAAGGTGGTGGTTTTTATCAACAGATTTTTCTTCACAGGCATAACTGTATGGTCCTTGAGCCAGAAAGAGTACTAGAACCGGAACTATCTGGATTGCTACTGCAAAGTAACAAGCTAGACCCCCAAATTACAAGAAAAGTTTTAGTTTTCTTTTACATATTTTTTTGAAATTGTTTTGTTTTAAGCCTGTCTTAAGCCATAAAGTAACTGTAGAGGTCATGATTCTTTAATATTATGTAGTGCCTATGCAAAGAAATGTTTTTGTATTCAGTAGTTGTGTGCTACATAGGATAATTCTAGTCTGTGAATTCAACAGAATAACTTTGAGTTCCCACATGGTTCAAGTACTGTATAAGGCCTTGAGACAATACTGTGGGAAATATTGGGAAGTTAGAAGACTGCGTGGATATAAATCTCAGGAAAATTCTTGAAATACATTAATTCTATTTTTATTGCAACATTATATAAATTTATGGAGTATTTTGTTTTGTTGTTTACAGTCCTGAGATTTGGTTTGGCAACAGCATCTGTTATATTCCTCTTACTCAGCAATTCAGAAAAGATTTCTCTGCATTTTTTCATGGATGTCCTTAAATTTACACCCTCAGATCATTATATTTTTTGTTTTGATAAAACCAGGTGAAAATTCTAGTTAAATTTAAAAACATTTTTACAAGCATCCCTTATATGGTAAAAACATCCTCAATAACTTCCTTCTATTTTTTTTTTCCCCTGAGTTTCTTGATATGACCTTTTACTTCATAAATGTATTACACTCACCTAAAAATTGAAGTCCTTTTGATACTAGGTTAACAGGGACAGAACACGTAGACTTCATACATCTCGTTTTTGGGTCCCTTCCTGTGGACAGGTGCTGCAGCCTACAATCCTGATGTGCAGTTGCTTTCTGTGGATGGCACATTGAGTCGTGGCCATCAAACTTTACAACCACGGCAATCCATGAAGAATTAAATAGAGACTTTGTTAGAAAAATAAACAAAAATTTAAAAAACTGTGTGACATGGCTCTCAGTAATTGGTACCTCAGCCTCATCTTTATCAGGGGAACCACACAGGGTTTTCTATTTTTAATAGAAATTGAACTGGATCCTTGATCCCTCATTTATTATTTGAAAAGGTTAATTTAGTGGGGAAATCAGTCCTAAACATCGTTCAGTATTCTGAAAGAAGTTAAACAGAGGACTTTTGTCTTTATTTTTAGATGTTGGATACCACAGAGTGGTGTAAAGAATAAGGTATAATTCTAAATCTTACCTTCATAATATTCTAAATCAGATTCTTCTGTTAATTAAAAGGGATCTGCCGTAGCAGTCACTCCAACTAATGATGATGGAAAAAAGTACAACGATAACAGTTGGCACCAAATAATTGCTACAAGAATTCAAGCACTGGGAAACATCACAGTGGATGGGCAGTACACAGGTAATCAATCCAGTTCCATTTTGCTTTATTATTTTGGTATTACTCAGGGTGTTGCTCACTTGCTTACTTTTCCACTGCCTATCTTCATCCATACAGCAAAATATTCACTCCATTTTCTGACAAAATCACTACTGTTTTGTCTGTGCGTCTGAGGTATCTGTCCACTGTGACTCTTCAGTAATTTAATACCAAGAATGAGAAGTTTGCTGTTTTGTGCTTGTGACTCTATGATTGTGTTAATATTATTTTGTAAAAAAGAGTTGTAAATATTTCCAGGATACATATGGGCAAGTATTAGACTATTGTGTTACGTTAGCCTCTTTTCTCAAATGTGAATATTCTGTTATTGAGTTAAAAATCTGTTGAAAGCATTGAACACAAGAATAATGACCTATTTTGTTCAGGTTCTTCCTTAGCAACTAGTGGCAGTACCATTATTGGAGAGAACACAGGAGTTTTTGTTGGAGGACTTCCACAGGGTTACACTCTTGTAAGAAAGGATGTAGGTGAGTGTGATTGTGGTCTGCATATGACAAATCCTATACAGTGGCACTGAGTTCACTGCCTCTGCAGTACTGTAGGCCGCATTGAAATTGTGTCAGAAACATGAGGACAGTACTTAATTTGCATAATTATTTACATAATTGTTTTAATCAAAAATAAGTCTGTACAGGTTCTTGAATTTACTTTTTCAGGATGGTCGAGATATCTATATAGCTGATTTCATCAACAGTAAGGCAGTGTAAGAGGTCTGTGTATATTTTAATTAATTTTATACGCAGAACTGGTACGCATGTGAAACTTGGGGCTATGTTTTACATTCTAGAATCCCAAATTCTTTTCCAAAGTACGCATACAAACTGTTTTTATTAGCTTAAGCGCAGGGTTATACATCCTGCCTGGGTGCAGGGTTAGAACGTGCTGGCCGTTTTGGTGTGAGTTTGGATCCTCAAGGGACTGTTGCACTGCACTCAATGGTGTCTGAATATGCCTGTATTCTGCTGCTATATTTATGTGGAGCTGGATTGTAGCTGGCTTCCAGAAGAATCAATAAACATATGTCTTCATATATAAACTTGGTGTGTATGTATACCAAGTGTATATTCTACCAGCAGATAACAGAAAGGTGACTGCATACAAAACTAGTATCAGTGGATTCATATCCAGACTTTTGTTGTTTTCAAATTACCCGAAAGCCAGATTGTTTGTATTAAATTTGTATACCCACCACTGATAATGACATGAGATCTAGTTGATGACTAGATGTGAGGTGCACTAGAGTGCAGCTTGCTCTATCCTTCTTTGTGTCACTTTACTAAAACCAGAAATATGTGCACGTGCTCTTCTAAGACTTCAGTTGGTAAAGTAATCTACGATGCCTCCCTCAGAAACCTCAGAATCAGAATGAGATTGGCTATACATAGCATTCAAGAGAACACCATCTGTAAAACCTATTTTATATTTATGTCCCCAGTAAAGAAAAATGGATAGCAGCCATGAATCCCTGTTTTTTAAATCCAAACAGGGAAAAGAAGAACTTCTTGATGAAGCTTCTAAATGTGTATTAATCTGCCTTAGCTTTTGCAACACTGTTTCACCCTATTCAGCAGATGCATGCCTTTGTTCACAATTCTGGTTTTGTTTAAAGAGGGTAAACCTGAATACTTTTCTTGGAATCTTCATGGAGTGGATTTACGCTGTTGATTTGAAAGTGTGCAAAAGCTCAAAAAAATGTAAGATTTTCCAGCTGTGTAGCAGTAGCTATTCTCTTTAGTGGCTAGACCTATTCAGAAATCTGTATTTTGCTTGGAGACCAACTTTATGAAGTGATTGATGGCTGATTATCAGTGCACACACAGATATATATGAAAGGGTGAGCATGTATGAAATACATAAATGAATCCCTGTGTTTAGTTGCAGGTGATTGGCTTAAAAAAGTTTTCCTTTTTTGCAGGAGTGAAGATGATAATCCAGAAAGGATTTGTGGGGTGTCTCAGTGACATATTTTTGAAAAAAGTGCATACTCCCTATGAAAACTGGGAATCTTTGAACTGGCAGGATGCTGAAGATCAGAACAACGTCTATCATACTTGGGAAGGATGCCCCGTTGTCCTCTCAGAAGGAGCACATTTTCTTGGCAAAGGTAGTTTGCTCTGCTATTGCACTAGCCAAGTATGTTCTTGGTATATGAAAGGTGATCATATCAAAAATATTGCAGTGATCGGCTTTTCAAAACAGTTTTAGTTACATAGGATTAGTTGTGAATGGTTTAAAATTTGGTTTCTGAATTTACAGAAGACTACCGCTTGAAAGGAATTGCTTTCACAGGCAGATGCTGCTGCTGTAACTGTGTGCAGATTTGATAAGCATGTAAAAGGTGAAGTTTCGCTTTCGAAGAGATACAGATGCTTATAATGCAGCAAAAAAATGCCAGGTAGCAAAATTTAGGACATTGCACCAGTTTGGTTTGTTACAGTACATTATGGATAACTGTCCTTTACAAAGCTGAGTGATAAAGTTGGAAACCTAAATCTTGAAACCTCTGAGTTCTTGATGTTAAAGTAGAAAGTAGCACCTAAATTTTTTCTTTTGGTTTCTTGAACCTATTTATTAATATATTTGTTTTATTCATGTATTCACTTTCTTTCAAGGGTTCCTGGAACTGCATTCAGATGTTTTCAGTGGTGGACTGGAATTTGAGATATCATTTAAATTTAGAACAGATCAGCTGAATGGATTGCTTTTCTTTGTTTACAATGAAGATGGCCCAGATTATCTTGCAGTAAGTTCAGAAATACAAGTAACTATATTCAGAGATGACCTGTGAGTTTTGTCTACTAAGATATGTCCAGCATTTAAAGAAATTTCAAACTATGAGTTATTTTTGTATTTTACATTTTTTGAAATGCTGTGCACAGCAAAGAGTAAGAGGAGGAAAAAGACTCCAACAAATGCTCAGAAGATGATACCTGTGTTAATTATATCATAAATAAGAAAGGTACCGATATATGACAAGCACAATTATTCTATTTGCTGAATTGGAAGTGATTAGAAAAGAGAATCAAAGATGTGAGTTAACAGCTTTTGGTTCATTCCTGGAAAAGTATAGAGTTACCCAATTTCCCACTTCTTATACTAGAACAAAATCAATTAAATTGTAAATCAAAAAGTTCATGATGGAAATTGTCTGGTATCCTAATAAATCTTTAAGGTACATTTATTTTTTATAATCAATACAGTTTCTTCATTTTGATTTGAAAGATAGAATTGTCATATAGGCAGAAATTAGTGGTCCAGCTTAATCCCATCTCATCCCTATCACTGTTTTCCCAACACTGTAGAGAAAGCTGCACAAATCCTGTATTAGGCAAATTTTTGAGATAATGTCTGTCAACTTTCTTTTGGGTGTCTTAAGTAATGTGCTCAGAAGTACTCATGCTTTCACCTTTTCCAGGATTTCGTTTAAGGCTGAAAATGTTTATTGCAGTTTTTCAAAATTTTTTATTAGTTACATGGCTCTAGATTTTCATATTTTAATTCCCCAAAGGCTTTTGAGTGTTACTGGACTGTGGTCACAATTGCTTAGTGGGTCAACTAGAGTTACTACTTGCACCGACTAGTAGGTATTATATTGAAAGTAGTATATCTTTTTAGTTGGTCCAAGAAGCAATCATTTACATTTAGAGATTTTTTTTTATGGTATTGTTACTCTTTATGATCTAATCTGCCCTTTCTGCATTTTTATTGAATTTCATTTATTTATTTGTTTATTATAATGCAGCTGTGTTGCTAATGGCTGTCATGTCACAGCCTGTTTTACTGCATGGCATTACATCTGATGTGCTTTTTCTTTTAAACTTCTGACCTAAAACGTATAAATATATTTCTCTCATTTTCAGGTCAACTATAACTTACTCTATATTTACTTTTTGTATTACTGACTTTTCCAGCAGATAATTTTTTCCTGGATTTTGAATTCTGCTAGACCTGATTGCTTCCTCTTTTTCAAGCAGCCCTAGTTCAAAAATTATGAAGAGTTCCAATAACAAGTCTTGCTAATTACGTATTACTTTAGTTTTGCCCTCAAGTAATGACCAAGATCATGAGCTAATAGCATAAGATGCTACACATACATTACTGTCCCATCCTAAAAAGACTAGTGTGTGTGTAATTCACAGTATGGGAGCAGTATTTCCACAAACAGTATTCACAGGGACAAACATTATTTCTACTATTTTTAGCACTGAAAACTGTGATTAGATAACTTTCTTAGCATTTGTCCTAAGTCAAGTAGAATTTTTTTATCTCACTTTACTCCTGACCTCAACATCTCCATAGCCTTAAGATGAGGAATTTTAGAGAGGATGAGTATATGCATGCTTTTCTAGCCCTCGCAGCTTTGTGTTCTACACATTCATAATGATGACAGAAGGTTTTTCTGTACACTTGAGCTCACAAAAAAAAAGTTAATAGAAAGTGAAAATTAGGTGTGTAGCATGTTGCGCATGAGCTACGATGTCTTTGTTAGGAGCTTTGGTCAGAAGACACTTGCACTGCAAAACAGATTGGAAGCTGTACCGCTTATCCTGAGTGCTGGTGTAAGACAGTATTCCCTGACCTTTGCCTTTGCATAGGTCACAGCTCTCTTGCTAGCTTTACAGTTTTGGAATGACTAAACTAGACACGCAGTTGGTCTGCTATGAAACAGCCAAAGACTCTGTCTTGTCTTCTGCCCAAGACAAAATTATGTCCTAGAAATCGTGCTCTGTGTAAATGTCACTTCTTCTATGTCTCCTCTTCTAGATTCAGGCTAAGCTTTGGCTTTCCTAATTCCAACTTTACATGCTCAGCTATAGCAAAATAAGAATTATGTGTGTAGAGAACAGTATTAATAAAATTTTTTTTTATTTGTACCCCAAATTCTGAAAAGCAAGTATGATTTTAAGCATTATACTGAGAAACTACTCAGGTTTAGAGCTGTGATATAATACTTTTGTTCTGTTGAGAGATGGCATCTAAGAGATCTGGCAGAAGGATAAGATGATTTTCATGCATTTTTGGTTTAAAGAAATAATGTATTTTCCAATGACAGATTAACAATCAAGCACTTTTTTAAAGTGGCCCTGGAATTTTATCCACAGCAATTTGTCTATTGTTTTTTCTGAACCTATCCTCAGTACCAAAGAGAATGCTAGAGGTATGCAGGACTTCTCTTTTTTTATCTTCATCATGCAGAACAGTTTGAAGTGAACAGTGGTCCTCTATCTTTAGCTGCATGTGGGCATTCTAAATGTCAGCCCAGGTCATCACAAAAGCACAAGCATCATTCTCTGCCTCCTTTAAGACTATGCCAAGATAAGTAAATTGGAACAGAGTTGTGCTGTGTAGTGACCCTATGTCATAAACCATGTCCTCTCTCCAGCTTCTGGGTTTGGCAGACTTGCTGGCATACTGCTGTAGTCATGCAGCTGAAATGCTTTCTTCACACCAGCACAGTGTACTCTGTATTAATTCTCATCAGCGAAGAAAATCGGTGGCTTGTCCAGTGAACTGCTTTTTCGAGCTATACTCATCAGCATTGATGCCGTGATCTGACCTTCACTTCTATTGTAGAGTCCTTAGCTACGAAGGGCTATGAACACATGGCAATAGGAAAAGTTGTGGTCCCAAAGAAACTAAACAAAATCCGTCTGCCTCATGAACAAGCAGTCGGTGTGCGCTCTGGGACAGGACCTATGATGGCCCATGACATCTAAAGTACTGAGTTCTTTCTTCAGTTGGGGTCTCTGTTAAGGAAATACAATCCAATTACAAATACTGCATTATTAATATTATCAGTAACTGAAATATGTCAGTTTGTCAATACTGGTGATAAGCATTTGTATTAAATTTGTATTTGTTGTTTCACTTAATAAGATTTTGGCATGGAAACAGTAATGCCTTTTTGTGAATGTGTCCATATTTTTCAACCACCAGTTCATCACCTAAGTGTTTAGTGGTCTATGCCTGCCAATTTACAGTCTCAACCCACTTGCGTTCCATTCAGTTAGGATAAAGAGTTTTGCAATAAAGCATTTGAAAACTTCTGCAGTGAAAATTTAAGTAAATTGTATTTCTATTAGAGAAATGGCACATTAATCTCAAAAAGCACATACAATAACAATTATTTTCTTACAAGATTTAGAAGAATAAGAATGAAATACAGAATCAATGTATACTTGAAAAATTTGAAATTGAGTTCACCAGCCAATTAAAAAGACCTTAATCAGGTCTGACATTTCATTTCCTTATTATCTTGTTACATTCTTCCAAAAAAATGAATTGATAGATAAAATACTATTTTCTCATTCTCAAAAAAAGCAAAACAGCCGTGGTTCATTGTCTTTTCTTTTTACTTAGCTACATTAGTGCCAAAGTCATTTGTCAAAAAGTCAGAATAGATTTTCCTACATTCTGAATCAACTGATACACTGTATTTACCATGTTTTGTGTAAACAATGTTATTGTAATTTTTGCTATCCTGAAGATAAAATTTTCATTGATCTTGTTCACTGATTCCCTTGATTATTTTTTTAAAATAACTGTGTCTGTTGTTGCTGTGCTGTCTCTTTCAAAATCTTTTTTTCTTTTTTAATATACATAGATTGAACTGAAAAGTGGAATATTAAACATCTTTTTAAAAACTGGCATTGTCTTTACACAAGTGGATCTCTGGTTAGGACTGTCTTATTGTGATGGAAAGTGGAACAAAGTCACTGTGAACAAGGAGGGCTCTGTAGTATCAGCAAGTATGAATGAACTGAGAGAGCAAATGTTCGAACCCCGTATTCAGCAGCTGAAAGTAAACTCACCCGTCTACGTAGGAGGAATCCCACCTGAGATTCAGAATTTTTATAAAGAACTGGGGTTGGAACAAGGTAAGATGGCACCAAGAACAACATATGTTTTTCAAAAACTGGTGTCATGCACAAGGTGGACATTCTGCTGCTGACAGTGTAAATTCACAAATATGTGACGTAAACTTTTCCTCCCATCCACTGTTGCTTTAACTACCAGTTATCCCTAACCTTCTGGCTTGATTTAGTCCTGATCCTTTTGTAATGCTGTAAAAGTTCTTCCAACCCAGTGATATCTCGAGCAATCTAACTCCTAGGAGAGGAACTGGAGAGTAACCAATGGTAATCTGAGATGCCGAGCCAGATCTCAAATCTTCATCAGAGAAAGTTTAGATGAACTTGTTTGTCTTGATCAACTTGTGTCACTTGCAGGTCTGGAATACAAACCCGGTGGAAGACAGTAAACATAGCTTAAATCACTTAAATGAGGCTGGATACTGCCACGTGGAAGAACAGTTGGGAGTTTATTAGTCTTTTTTTAGGCGATACTGATTCTAGTCTAAAAAATTAAGTGGGTATAAAACCCTGAATTTGGATTTTGGCTATGTTACCATGATGTTTTCTGTGTTATCAGGAGAAGGGGGAGATGATCATGTTTTTAGCCATCACTGTGATACTTCTGTTCTGGAACAGGTCAAATTTCTATGGAAAAGAGAGAAGTATGAATTACAGCCTGATACTAATGGCCTCCACAAAAGGATCTACTGTATGAAATGCAGTCAAAAAGTGTCTATTAAATTAGCTCTGTTTACAGTTTGGGTGTGTTTTTCCATTATTTATAAAGCTATTCATCAGTCATGATGTATTTTTCAGATACTGTGGGCAAATAAGTAGCAGCCAGTAAGTGATTAGTGGGGAATTTAGTAAGTGGCTTTGAATGCATGAGCTTACCTTGAAAGCTTGCATTCAAGTAAGCTCTGCAGAGCTTTATGGAAGCCTTGTGATTTCACAGCTATAGAATTGTTTGAATCAAGTTCATGCACTGGCATTCACAAATAGCTAAAAAATATTGTTGTAAGTATTCTTCCAGCTGTAGGTATCATATGTATTATAATGTTCCTCTAGGTTCTGTGTGCATAATATTTATGGTCCAAAAGAGCTAGCCAGTCATAGCCTGTCAGTGTTGCCTCGTAGCAGATGGTATAGCCTCGTGAGTGGGTGCATTTGCAACTCCTGCAGCAAAGAGATCTATGAACAAAGAATCTAGGGCAAAAAAAACCGTCTGAAGTGCATATTGAGGCACATCAATAAACATTACTTTTTTCACCAAGCCTCCTCAGTATGCCGCAATATTAGATGGCGGCTGTGAATTTATTTTCAGAGCATCTGAAGATAAAAACATTCTTTTGTGTTCCTAAATGTAGATTTAGATGAGCAAGCTTAGGCACTACAGCTTTGAAACTTACTTTTATTTAAGACTATAATGATGTAATGGTATGATAATAGACTATAGAGACCTTCCCAGTTTAATAAATATTTAGAAAAGGTTTTCTCAATTAATGGTTGCTTCATAGTTAATTCTGGATAAAGGAATATTGTTTTGCTCACAGTAAATAAAGGATAAATATCCTTCTTCTCCCACCCCACCTCCATGTCAGTTACAACTTTATTTTACGAAATTTCACCTAGAGTCTGTGGGCCTTCGCATGACCCATCGCACGCCTTCCTGAGAGGTCAAGATGGAGGGGAGCCGGCAGGAATGTTTGTGAGAATTTGTACCAGAATTGCTTATTCTGCAGCTGCCTATGAGTAAACAAGATAGCTTGATCGACGCCAGTCAGAAACCTTCAAATAGTGATAGATGCAGCTAAACAGATACTAAAAATAATGTATTAAAATAGGTTATACAGTATACATCTCATCGCAAATTAAACAATTGTTCATTTTGTCTAAAGATTAATATGCCTGTGCAGACTGTGACTAATTCTTTCCTCTGCCACAGACTGCCTAAGAAACGAGCAGATCGCTGTGGAGTAGGAGTTGAACTTAAATTAGGATATATTCATTTTAAGGAGCAGTTTGTCTGAAACCCTAGCGTTGTGACGAGAGAAGGTGTTTTAGAGGGTGATTCAAAATGGGTGTCTGCCTTCAGGGCCCCTTTTTACATGAACTCTGTATGGATATTAGATTCTCAGATCGGGTGGCTAGGTACAAATCTGCTCTGATCTGCCATCTTGTAGTAATAAAGGCAATAAAAGTCACAGAATCACAGAATGGTAGGGGTTGGAAGGGACCTCTGTGGATCATCTGGTCCAACCCCCCTTCCAAAAGCAGGGTCACCTAGAGCAGGCTGCACAGGACCTTGTCCAGGCAGGTCTTGAGTATCTCCAGAGAAGGAGAATCCACAACCTCTCTGGGCAACCTGTTCATAAGATACAAATCTGTAAGTCCATAAGATATAGATACAATGTTTTCACAAAGAAAAAAAAGAGCACTGATCTGTTTAATGCTGATTTTTAATTTACAAAGTTAATTCTTCAATGAATTGAAGTCTTCAATTTACTGTTTACTTTGGTTTTACATAAAACACCGATCAGTGTACTTTACTCAGATTTGAGAACTATTTTGTATCAATTTATTAATTTATTTGTAAATTAAGTCATAGAAGTATATAGAAATTTTAACAACCTCATCCTGAATTTTGTAGTGGTGTTTTTATGGCAAGTAACTAATTTAACACATTTGTAATGTTGATAGGAATGTTACACACACACGCACAGAGAAATATATGTATGTATATATAGAAATGAATATAAAATGAAGTTAATTTTTTCTCATAAATGAGCAGTTTGGAGTTATGTTTCTAGAGTATGTTTGTAAATAGCATAGCAGTTATATCCCCATTAGTATAAACTGATATACCTCTGTGATGTCCTGAAGTTAATTATATTTTTAGTCTAGATATTCTCCTCAGTTTGAGGAACCGTGTATATTAACAAAATATTAGCAAGCAGCAGAAAGCTGATTTTCAAATTCAGAATCCCTTTTATGGTAATAAATTTAAAGAGAGAAGTCACAGCAGAGAAAACAGGAAGTTATTTACTTGTGGGATGGAATTGATAATAATGAACGTATAGTTTGGTAAGGCAGGAACTTAACACTAGAATACCAGGAATTTTTACCAGCTTATTATTTTGAAATTGGGGACAGAATATTGTGTTGGAAGTCAGCATGTTCACATTACAGTTTTTAATATTGAAAATATAGAATTGAAAGGAACAAAAGTGATTCTTAATTAATGTTTGAAACTCTTTATGTGATTCTAATCCCTTACTGTTTGCTAGGTTTCGGTGGTTGCATGAAGGATGTTAAATTTACACGAGGTGCTGTCATTCACTTGGCATCTGTGTCCAGCAGCACTGTCAGAGTCAATCTGGACGGATGCCTATCAACTGACAGTGCTGTTAACTGCAGGGGAAATGACTCCATCCTAGTATACCGAGGAAAAGAGCAGAATGTTTATGAGAGTGGTCTACAACCATTTACAGGTAACATATTGGTTCCTTAAATGAAATACATCACTTTTATTTCGTTCTGTATTAATGTATTACTGTGTTCAGTGTTGTGTTTTTTTCCCCTCCTCTATACTTCTCTATGTTCTTTGAAGAATACCTTTATAGGGTGGTTGCCTCAAATGAAGAAGGATCAGTATCTAGTGTATGGACCCGTGTTCGTACAAGAGAATCAGGTAAATATAATTTTAAGGCTTACTTATTCCCATTTTCATTAGCTATCTAATGTCAGGTTGGAGAAAATCCCACCACAACAATTTTGAGTAGTAGAAGTTGCATAGTGTTTCTGAAGGACCAAAACTGCTTAATGCTTTGAATAGGTACCAAATGACCGTCTCCCGCTATAAAGTGTTCAGGCAAGTATTTTCCACACATAAATCGAGGTCTTTTCCAAACATATATTATATTATGTAATAGTGTGAGAGTAAAGACTGTGAAAGGATTGAACTGCATTAACTGACTAAGAACAGCCATGCATCTAGGTATGTTCATGTGTGCACATCTAATCTCATGTTACATGAGTCTGCTGGAGTAAGTAAATCTGTATTTTCCTATGTATAACTTGGTGATACAAAACCAAGTGAAGAGAAAGGAGATACTGGTATAGTAGGCACAAGCTATGGAAGATAAAAGGCCATGTCACTGCTAGGGAAAAGAGGGTATTGTCGAAGTTTTTCTTTACATTATCTGCACGTGCGTTTACTGCTCAGTGCTGCTGAATGAGAATTCTTTTAACAAGCAGTCCATAGATTTTGTGTGAAAATGTGGCAATATTTACTAGAAAAGCAGCATGTGGCTTGTGGAGAATGTTTCAAAGTAGGAACATAACACCTGCTGAGTCTTAAAGATCAAATTTTTTGTATATTTTATGAAGAAAATTTAAAGGACCTTTCCTCTTCTGTTCAGTGTTTTTGCAAACTTTATTGAGCCAGCAAGTTCCTGAAAATTTACAGTTCTGCGTATTTTATTTAACCAACTTTCTCTCTTCTGGAAATTGAAGCTTAAGTACATTCCATCAATGCAGAAAATTCTTTTGATGCAAGATATTCAATGTATGATCTTATAAAATTATACGATTCCTACATAAATATTGGACTTGTAAATGCATTCTTATGCAACTTACTGTCATTATTTTGTGTACCACTCAGAAGAGGGAAAATACATGCATATTTTCATATCAACTGTCTGACAACTGTAAGGTTTACCATAAACTTATGTTTGCAAGCTGACCACAGCACTGAGCAGTCCATGTTCCCCGGGGTTACAGAATAATTGTGCTATTTAATTATTTTTGAGTTGGTTTTGTTATGTCCTTTATGAGAAGACCATCTGCTATACAGTACCTTACCTTGTCCTGTGATACACTTCAGAACTAATAAAATCAATATATTACTGCAGTAACTGAAGCTTTGCTAGAGTATCACATTCTTGCTTTACAAAAGAATCACAACTTCCAGGTATTTTATTACTTTCCGTTCTGGTACCCTTCTTATAAAAAACAAGGCTACATTCATATTTAATGAAACAAAATAACAATATTTAAAAAAAGAGCTTATTTGATAATGAGAAACGTGAATGATCATCAGCAGGGCTAGGGAGTCCACATGCATTTACAGCAAACTCATCATCCATCATCCTGCCATAGTGCTCCTTGGGCCTTTCCTCTGCATCCCTTGTGCAGTCATCTGTGATGAAGTTGTAACTGGCCAGACCTTTACTTCATATAGAAATATCTAATAAATAAAGGTTATGGGAAATGGGATGATTTTTTTTTTTTAATAGCAACTGTATGCATATATGAGCTTGGCTTTCTAGTTCTTTTAAATATTTTAGTTTTTCCTTTTTTTTCCATTTTATGGTAGCAAAGAGTTTTGCAAAAAAGCCTTACAAATCTCTCGCTTGCCCTGAGACAGTTGTATGGCATTGTGGAAATATGAAAATAGATGGAAGAGCTTAAATTTTCTGAAGTACTTTTGTAAACGAGAAAGCACGTTTTTAGAAATGTTTCATAGTTGTGGCATTCTGTAGCTTAGGTATCCAGCAGATAAATATCAAACCCTTCTCTGTTGCAATACTGTCTTGGTTCATTCAGTTGTATGATTGTAATGCCTGAACTTGTTAGCTACATACAATCAACCTCCTCTCTTTGTGAGTGATGCTTAAATATGTTCAATACGTTAAATGTTTTTGGAAAATTGCAACAAGACAAGAACGAATGTTATGTAGATGGAGTTTTGATGGTTTTGAAATATAGCTTAAACTGAATAGCTCAAGACGTGCAGTCATATTAAATCAATGCTGAAAAGTTACAACTCTAATAAATTGTATTTATGCTAATGGTTGAGTCTGATTTACTGCAGCCATTAAAAGTGAAGAATAGGGGCAATAGTCTCCTTAGAACTGCCATTTTCTCTATTTTCTATTTTATCCTTCTACAGTTCCACAAAATGTGCCAACTCTCTCAAGAGTTCACAGTATAAATGGTTACAGCATTGAGGTCACCTGGGACAAACCTGCTGGGGTCATAGGTGTAATTGAGAAGTACATTTTGAAAGCGTATGAAGAGGATGGTCCCACTGTACCCATCACGAGTGCTGAGCTTGCTGACACTAGTATGCTCACAGGTAAATGTTGTTAAGTACCATTTTTTAGGCACTTCTAATAACATAGGATGCTTATACCTCCTTTTGTTGAGCTATAAAGTATCACTTGCATATTTTTGTGCATACACAGCATAGATAATATTTGGAAGGGTAGTACTTTTGTTGACGTACACATACATAGCTATGCACTGACTTCAAAGAACAACAGAAATTAAGATACAACACAAATACTAAAAAGTAATTTTATTTAAGGTATGCCTTCCCAGCCTATCGATGATTTGAGGGGAGTTTCTTTTTTTTGTTTGGTGAGTTTTCCTGAGTATGTGTGATTTTTTTTTTTTCTTCCCTGTTACATCCAGTTCACCTAAATTAACACTAAATGTGAGTCCCATAATATACTATTTGACCTGATGTATGAAAGCACTTGATATACCTGCCTAATTTTGGTCGTATAAAGCTAAATGATTTTAGTGGGAACTAGCATGCATGCATTTATGTTAATCAGATGCTTTGGTTGATGCCACTGGGATGTGGAGGTGAGTTGTTATGGAACAAAGGAATCTGGGGCCTTGGTTTGTGGGATTTGGTCACAGCTGGGCTGTGGGTTGTGGACAGGAGTTATAGGAACTGTTGCACATGAGATGCTTCCTGGAGTCTAGGTCTTTTTACCCTTAGAGGCAGATGTTTTTAGGAAGAAACACTGGAGACTGCTACATAAAGAACATCTTTAGATCTCTCTTCCTGTCAGGGTAGCATGGATCTGGCTTTTTGCTCTCTATGAACAGACTCCCTTTGCTGGCTGCTAGAAAGTTGCCTGAGAAGGGATGACATCACAGACAAGGATCTGGGTTACATTATGTGATGACTAAATGGGGCAATAGTACAGAATTTTACTTTTATTACAACAAGCAGTGACCAATAGATTTGTTTGTATACTCTCTAAAATTAATTATAGAATTCCTAACAATTAAAAATGTGCTAACGACATAATGCTCAAAACTGATGCCTTAGTTTGGTTCAGCTTTGGGCAATGTAACAGTCTTGGAAAGTGCCTTAACCCTCAGGCAGTATATTATTGCTGCTTTCCTGAAGCCCAGGTAATATGTGCTTAGTGTTTTTACATAAGTGTATATGTTTTGTGTTGTTTCTCTGTCATAACATGTGTTTACATTTTCAAGAGCAAGCATGCACATATTTTATTTTCTTCAGTTTGGAGTCTCTTGACGTCATTTGTGAGTAATAGGCTTACAATGCCAAAACTGTGAGGGCTTCTATTCTTACTGTGATTTCTTTGATGAACTGGTTAATTTGAATACTGTTTATCTATGCTGTAAAGCAAAGCAAATTATATTAGTAGAAATGAAAGACCATAGTAGAAGCATATGGACTAGATAACTTATTCACAGCTGATGATAAGAACCAAAATTTTGTTTAAATTTGTTGGCATTGTGCCATCGTTATGTGTCAGGGTTATGAAAAGGTCTGTAGCAGGCTGGACAGGTAAGAGGTTGTCTGCATGCAGCTTTCAGGAGGTTGAAAAAAAAGACATTCCTTTCTATTAAATTGAGACAGTAAAAGGATCCTGGTGCTTTAGTCTACTAAAGCAGATAGCTGTTGAATGCTGCAGAATAAAATGACCCTAAGAACCTAAGAATGTCTGTATTCAACGACTGACACCTCTGACAATGTCAGATTGTAGATGCTTAGGAAGAAAAAGTAAGAAAAGTGCTAAGCATAGAGCGAGTCTTTGTGTTAATACAAATGCATCTGGTAGTTTGTGGAATTCCTGAGCTGAAAGTTGCATCTGGACCATCATGCTTAATGGTCTGTGGTAGAAGTGTCTTTCTTTTTTTAATACATTTATGCTTTTGTCTTCTGTAACTTGCTATGGCAGTATGTTTTCCAGTTCCATTTTGTGTGTGTGGAGTGCTTCCTTTTGTTATTTATAACTGCTGCCGTAAAGTTTAGTATTTTCCAGTTTTGGCATTGTATGAAATATGTAATTCATGTCCTCATTGTGAGGTCAGAGCTGACACAAGTGAAAAATTAAATCACTGATCATGAAATTATTTTACCTTCAGCCCGTTGATTTCAGTGAAGCCTACATAGATGGACTAGTCTGTGGATGTTGAGAAATGGTTACCCACAAGTGGGAGACTCCCAAGAAAAAATGAGGCTTTCCTGCTTAATTATATTTTCTGAAAAAAAAAGAACCCCACGAGAAGATGCTGTCTTTGCTTACTTTTCCTTTGAGTTCTACTGAGAAGGGAAAGATTGCTTGTTTTCTCCCTAATTTCAGAGGAATTTCTTTAGAAATTCTTTTACTGAATTCCATGCAAAGATGCTACAGTAACCTAACAGCCAGGCTTGCTCTCCTCAACAACAGAGAGGAAAGCAGCACAGCTCTCAGTGGGATCGCTGATGAAGGAACTCTGGTATTTTTCCACTCTCTCCTTCAAATTTTCATTCACTGTTCAGCCTAAGCATCACTTAATCTGCTGCTTTGTGAGAAGCCTTTGCTTCTACTTTCCTTTGGAATCCAGAATATCACAGAATCACTGGGGTTGGAAGGGACCTCTACAGATCATCTATTCCATCTTCCCAGCTCAAACAAGGTCAGCTGGAGCAGATTTCCCAGGACTGTATCCAGTCAAGTTTTGAATACCTCCACAGATGGAGATATTCCTCTGTGGGAAGCCTGTTCCAGTGTTTGACTACCCTTACAGTAAAAAAAGTGGTTTCTTGTGTTCAGATGGAATTTCATGTATTTCAATTTGTATTCATTGACTCTTGTCCTGTCACTGGGCACTACTGAGAAGAGTCCGTCTCCTTCGGCTTTGTTGCCTCCCGACAGGTATTTATACTCACTGATGGATCACCCTGAGTCTTCTCTCTTCTGAGCTGATCAGTCCCAGCTTTCTCACCCACTCCTCTTAAGAGACATGGTTCAGGCCCTTTATCACCTTAGTGGCCCTTTTGTATCATCCACAAACTTGCTGAGTGTGCACGCTTCCCCCATCATTAAGATAATTAATGAAGACATTGAACAATATTGGCCCCAGTATCAACCCCTGGCATGCACAGCTGTCTTTCCTCTAACTGGATTTTGTGCCACTGGTCACAATCCTCTGATGCTTCCCTTGTCAAGCACATATGAGAAAAACATTTTATAACTCAGATTGCTCTCATTGTAGAATTCAGAATATCGACAAGCCCATAAATTTTATCAGCTCGCAGCTGGGGGCAGTGAAGAACACTAGTGAAACCCCCAACAAATATTAAGTAAAATATTCTGCAAAAGAATTCACAAACATTTGATATTCCTCTAGCAGATTTATCTTTTAATTTTGTGTGGTTTTTGCAGTTCCTTCCGCCTGTGTCGTTGCCGCAATAGCCAAGTGCTGAAGTCGTGGCTGCACACATGATAACGAGAAAATTGTTGTCGACGGCTTCCCCTCTGAATGCCCATGGTTGCTGTTCCCTCCTTCCCTTGACACGTGTTTGTAATTACTTTTCACCTTTTAGTCTTTTCTGCTCAGCAGATGAATATCTCAGGAAAAGTTAATTTAATGATTTAATATAGTTAATCAAAGTGTCTCGGCTGCGCCTCGGCTTTGAAAGCGCTCTAGCTAGGGAGTCTCTCAGAAGAGGAGACGGGGCCTCCTGCCAGCGATGGATAGGCCCGGGCTCACTGGTGGGGCCGCAGGGCTGGGGCAGCTCACTGCCAGCCTGGCAAATGCTGAAAATATGGTTTTCAAAAGCTGCTTCATCAGGTGCTTGAACCACAATTAAATACAAGGATGGTTGTCATTTTCATGTAAATCCTTTATCATAATTTTGTAGAAGCAAACTTTGGTCAGAAGCACAGGCAGATGACAGAAAAGATCTGAATATTTGCCGTAGCCAGAAGATCAGCAGTATGCGCTTTACAGTGCCATGCCACAGTGTGAGAGATGTGGAAGGCTGTACGCATCCTTCCCACACGAAGGCGTATCCCGTACTGAGACCCATGTGATGGTTAGGGCCACGATGCTCATTGCTGGCCTGTTTTGTCCCTGTGGGTGTCTGGAGGAGATTTGGTCTCTCCAGCTCTCTCATCCATATGTATGCAAACCTCTCTCGGTGGGAGGAGTTGCAGGAGTATACCAGAAGCTGCACCTCTCACCCTGCTCAGATCCCTGTTTGACTGCGGCAGCTAATGCAGCATAGGGTAGCCAAGAGACCCGTCTATGCCCTTTAGATATTCTGTGAGTTGTCAGGTAGTGCTTGAGCTCCTAATGACTCTAAATCACAGTGGCAGAATGAAGGTTCATATCTCCTTTCATTTAACTGGCTTTAGCAGACCAGCAGCGTATTTTTCAATAAGTGCATTTTAAAACATAAATAATATTAATATTCTGCAGTATTAAGGTTCTAACTTGATTGAGTGTAGACCTAAATGAATCTTGTTTACAGTCCAATGCTGTTGTATAAATTTATTCGTGTGAAATATAAATTGTCTAAATATAATATACCTGAACATTTTGTCAAAATTACGTTGACTCTTAGCTACAAACCAATACTTTAATTAATAAAAATAATACAAGTTCTAAATGTTTGTGAGGATAGAAAGGATTATTATTATGTTTTTTTATAGACATACTCAAAAAAAAAGGTTAACAGTCTTTCTTTCTCTGGAAACTTTTAAAAATGATCATCCTGTAGAAAATGAACAATGACAATGTTATCTGGAAGGATCGAGAGTAACATAGTGATAGATATTACAGAATCAATACTCTCTGTGGTTAATTAACTCTTAGTACAAAATTGGACTGCTGGGCTAAGATTTTCTGCAAATTAAAGCAGACAGAGAGTTGCCATGTGTTATGGGGAATGTAACAGGCTTCCTTGAACCACTGCAACCTGAATTGCATCTTCAAGGCCAGTGGAGCTTGTGTATGGTTGGTTATGAAATTTTTCTGTTGGAAAAAGGGTCTTCCAAGCCACAGAAATCCAGTAATCAAAGTTCTTATAAGCCAAAG